TTGTAAGAAGATTTGGAAATTGCACAGAGAATCTGTGTTTGTGCATTGTTATTTTCAGATGCTTGTGTTTTCTGCATTGCAACTGTCCAGAAGAGTTACTTTACAGTAGGTCCTTGCTGACAAATGTATTTCTGTTGGTTAATGATAAAGAAAAGCCAATATTTTGACTTCTTTTACAGATGACTCCTACCCACACTGCCCTGAAGAGTGGGTGGCCTACAGAGGGAGCTGCTACTCCTTCTCCAAGGAGGAGAAGGACTGGAATTCCAGCCAGGTATCCTGCTGGTCACAGGGAGCTCACCTCCTGGTCATCAGTGATACCCGGGAAATGGTAATGATTTTCTTAGTCTTTGAGGATCTCCCATTTCCTTGCAGATACTAAGTGATTGACATCCAAGCAGTGTTGTCACTTCAGCAATATTTTGGCTTTAAATGAGAGGAAGGACTTATAATTGATGTTACAGTGCACTACCAGTTTCAGTGTACACCTTAGAAGTTTGCAGGAAGCAGAGAAGCAAAGGGGAGAAGGGAGACGTGAGGGTCACTGTCAGCTACTCAGAATCATCCTATGAAGAATGTTAGGTGACAACCTTTTCCACTGCTCCTCTCCACCTCCCCTCCTATCCTCAATAAGGCTGATTGAGTGATTACAGGAAATGACTGTGACACTAGGCAGTCACGTACTCATCGCTCACAAACCAGTAGTACATCCCCACTCTCAAGGAAAGCTTCCTTTTCAAAAGCTGTGCTTCTCCTCCCTGCAACTGCTCCAGCTCCTCCTGCTCAGTGACCCATCCCATTCCCCGTGTTCATGCATGGATATTTCTTTCTCAATCTGTTTTCAGTGCTTACTTCCTGTCTCTGCCAAAATACCTCAGTTGTGCTGGTGAAAGGAGGAACCAGCTGTTCCTCTGCAGGTGCCCACCACGGGCAGGGCATGTATGGTCACTAAAGAAAGGGGTAGTGCTGATTGCTGGGGCACTGAGGCACATCTGCTTAAGTAGAGCAGAAGCCTTGATCTGGTTTTGTGCAAGCCAGGGCTTATTAGCTTGGGTCCAATGAACGTGGACAGCTTCCAGTCCCTGGACAGAAGTTGCATTGTATGATGTTCTGTGGGGGCTTAAAAAGCCAGGTCTCTGCTTGACTGGGAGTATGTACCAGGCTTTCACATTTGCTTAGACAAATCCAGACTCCTTAAGAAGTAGGCATCTTCCCCAGGTTACCCGTTTTTCTGCATAAAAAAGCCTCCCTTACTACCATCTCTGCTGCTTGAGTGTTACCCATTATCCCTGCTCAGACTTATCCATCTAAGTGAGACTTTCCTAGCTATCCATGCCTTATGCTGCAAGGACTATGATTGCTCAACCTCTGTGTGCCAGGGAAGCGTGGTCACCTCCAAACCACCAGCAACACTCAAGTAGTTCCTCAAGCTGCTCCTGTTCCCACGACTTTACCAAGCTAGCTTTGTTAATGCTTCTCTGTGAAGATGTCTTCTCTGAAGCTTTGTTATGGCAGCAGGAGATAAGGATGGAGCCCAGCCATACAACTGAAAGGTTGCTGTTCTTTGGTTTCATTGCAAAGGTGGACAAGAAAAACTTATCTCTCCTGGCTTTGTCTTTTATTTTTTTTGGAGGGAAGGGAGGGGCAGGGGATTTACTTCAGGGCTAAGTTTATGTTGCAGGCTTCACCTTTTAACAATAAACAAGAGTTAAAATTTAGCCAAAAGGAAATGAACATTGCAAAAAAGTAAGAGGAATGTTTGTATAAAATTTGAAGAGCTTTGTTCCTGGGTTTGTTACGCATCTGTCAGTGCCTGCACTTCCTGCTCTGCCCTGATTTTACCTGTAATTGTTAATACTTTGTATTAGCTTGCTAACTAGCTCCATGGTAGAGTGTTAATATTAATTCTAATAGCAAACATTCCTACATAAAGTGTGTAGGAATCTCCAGGAGATTGGGGTGCAGTTCATAGAATCATAGAATATGCTGAGTTGAAAGGGATCCATCAGGATCATTGAGTCCAGCTCCTGGCTCTGCACAGGACAGCCCCAAGAATCACACCATGTGCTTGAGAGCACTGTCCAGAGACTTCTTGAACTCAGACAGGCTTGGTGCTGTGATCACTTCCCTGGGGAGCCTGTTCCAGTGCCCAACCACGCTTTGGGTGAAAAACCTTTTCCTGATATCTAACCTAAACCTCCCCCTACTCAACTTCATGCCTTTTCCTTGAGTCCTGTCACTGGTCATGAGAGCAAAAAGATCTGTACCGTCCCCTCCACTTCCCCTCGTGAGGATGTTGAAGGCTGCAATGAGGTCTCCCATCAGTCTCATTCAGGCTGAACAAACCAAGTGACCTCAGCTGCTCCTCATATGGCTTCCTCTCCAGACCCTTCAACAACCTTATGGCCCTCCTCTACATGTCTCTAATAGCTTAATGACCTTCTTATATTTCAATGCCCAAAACTGCACACATGACTCAAGGTGAGGCTGCTCCAGCGAAGAGCAGAGCGGAACAATGACCTCCCTCCCGACCGGCTGGCGATGCTTTGCCTGATGCCCCCCAGGATGCGGTTGGCTCTCCTGGCTGCCAGGGCACTCATATTCAACTTGCATATTTGACAGCAGTTGTTTCATATATATTGCCCTGAGAAATGTCCTTTGAAGAATCTCCCCAGGACGCTGAAAGCATGCTTACTTCCTTGTGAATGTACACATAGTTTTTATTCCAGGCATGATTTGCAAGGCTGATCTTCCTGAATAGAAGGTGTGGGTAAGCATATTGTCAACCACTTAAGGAACAATCAGGCAAAGGGATGTATCTTGCTTTCTGTTCTCTCTACTTATCCTGACCTCCATTCTCTGCTTGGCTTTCATTAGTCATTAGTCACTTGGTAATTCATCATCATTTCTAGGATCTGTTCAAGCGTATTCAAACAGAATGTTTCTGGATTGGATTGAGGAACAGCACAAGCTCTGGATGGATTTGGGAAGATGGCTCCATATCCAATTACACCAAGTGAGTTTCATTCTATTTTAAAAACAACAGTGCTAATTCAGATTGCCTGGTGTTCCATAATACCCAGAGTTCCTACTCCAGATCTCAGGACCTTTCTTCCTGGGCAGATTTTCTTCTTCCTGTCACCTGTACTGCACTAAGCTCAACATGGTCTGCTTTTTACTGCCCTGCACCTTGTAAAGGCAGGTACCTGTGAAAACCAGGTCTAATATTAGTATTGCACTCCCTACTTCCCTCCAGCTGCTCAAACAAAGGATTTTATTTACCTGTACCACCCACACAGATGCTCGGTCAGAAAGGCATATGGTTTTACTGGGGTTAGCCACCTTGCACCAATTCTGTCAAGTGCTGGTGTCAGTGGGTGTGAGGACTCTGCCCTTTGCTGCTGCACTGGTGCCAACCCACATCAGAACCTTAATTTCAACTCAGTCTCTACTTAGACAAAACTCAGCATTTTGCATGAGGGAAAACATTTATGGTTTGGTCCATTGACTTTGCCTGGCCTTTCCTTTTTATGGCAGTTAAGACAATCAGTTAGTTTCTAATGCCTCTCCAGCAAGGAAACTCACCCAAGATCTCACTGTCAGGAGGTCAGTACTCTAGGCACTCGATTTAGTTCCCTGCTTAAATCCAGCTTTCCATTCTTACAAACTCCTTGGAGGTGATCATCTTTCCATGAAACACTCAGCACTGCCATTCTCATGCTGGTGGATATCACTGCCACTGCAAGGCATCATGTCTATGTTTCATTCTGATTTAGGTTCCACAATGGCAAAATTACTTGGTAGTAGCGGGAAGGTGGTTCTTTAGTGTATATTTTATTTTCTAACAGCTGCCTTTTGGAGGTTGGGTTCTTTTGTTTCCTCTGGGCTACACCCTTCACAATCAAATGTTTTTTCTTTCTTGCCTCCAGGAGACAACTTCAGCATTTTCTCTCAATCTCACTTCTGTTCTGTGTCTCTTGCAGGGTCCTCTCTAACAGCCACGTGCAACACTGTGCTGTCCTGATGAAAGGTCGTTTTCATGCCTCCAGCTGTGAATTTCATGCTCCATGGATCTGTGAGAAATCGCTTAGATAAATCCTATGTGCATTTTCATCTCATAACAATCTCATCAATGGTATGAATTGATCATTGTCCTGCAAACCAAAGCTTCACACAAGAGCAATGACTTGCCTTTTCCATACCATCACAAAGGTGATTTGCCCATAAATGTAAGTTATCTTCAGTGGTAGATCTGTTCTCAGTCCACATGTGTTAGATTGCTGCTGTTTGTGACCAGGTGAGACCTTGGACATATTCCCTGGCCTAGCCTTTTCCTATTTGTCCTGTAAGAGCAAACAAAAGCTTTATCACAACAGGTGTCTTCAGATCTTTGAGGGTGAGCTGTCAATTTTCCTTCAATTTTGAGCATCAGATTTCATTTCTATTCCCTGCATCTCCATTGTCTGATATCAGAAGGACTGGAAAAATGAAGCCTGATATTCACTGATAGAAACATATAAAGAGATTTTTCCCAGTGGCAGCCTCTCCTTTTGCATCCCAGTGCTATGAGTGGGAGAGAAGAGGGTGAAATGCAACTACAGCTTCTGTAAATCCAGCAGAGAAAATAAACCTCTAGTACTGCACTGGACCAAAAGTGTGTACCTGTGCCATTACTTCTCTCTGTTGGAAGGAACTAGTTGCAGGCCATGTTTTATAGGCCAACTTTAACCAAACTAGTCAAGAGACAGGAGTCAAAGGTATACAGTTAATTGTGTGAAACTGAATCAACCAAGAACTTGTTTTCCTCCCCACTTCTGCACTTTCGTACTGCAGAGAGAGGAAGCAGTGGACAAATCCTTAATAAAGGAACTTTCAGTTCAGATAGAGCAGAGCCAGGCTCAGAGTTTGAACAGCATAAAACCACAGTGAATATTAAGGGTTGGACAGTAGATTGCATTTCCGCACAGCTGGAAAACTTTTTTACACACAGAGATTTTGTTCCAAAAAAGGAAGAGAAATTTTATTAATTTTCAATTTATCCTCTTTATGGTAATATATTTATATTATATTTCAATTTACTATTGTCAATTTATCCTTGGTCCAGAATTGCAGTCAGAGCAGTAAGTCTGACAGGACTGCCTGATGGTGGATGGTCCTGATGCAAAGTTACTGCTATTACCTACTCTGAAGGTTTGACTGACATACAGGCTGCTGAGCCCATATGAATGACCTCTGAAGCACACGCAGCACCCATGGGCTGCTCTGGACGTCCACCTCACTATGCAGATATGGTATGGTGCACAGAAGTGTTTCCGTGGGGATTTCCCAAACAGAAGGCCTTAAGCCTTGCCTTGGCGAGCAGCAGGTTCCTGGTAGATGTTCTGAGGTGTGTGTTTGTTCTGGCAAAGATGGGCTGGAGAAATGGATTGACAGGAACCTTGTGAAGTCCAACAAAGAGAATGTCAAAGTTCTGGAGCTGGGAAGGAACAGCTCCATGCACCAGTACACCATGGGACTGACCCACTTGAAAGGAAGCTTTGCAAAAAATGACCTGGGAATCCTTTTGAACATCAGAATGAATGTGACCAGTAGTGTGCCCTTGCTGCAAAGGAAGCAAATAGTGTCCTGGGCCACATTAGACAGAATAATGCCAACAGGTTGAGGGAGGTGATCATTCACCTCTACTAAGCACTGGGGAGGCCACACTGGGAGCACTGTGTGCAGTTCTGAGCTCCTCAGTACAAGAGAAACATGGACATACTGGAGAGTCCAACAGAGGGCCACAAAGATGATGAAAGGACTGGAGCACGTCTCCAGCATCTATGAGGAAAGACTGACACAGCTGGATGGTTTATTCTGAAGCAAAGAAGGCTGAGGGGAGATCTTATTCATAGAATCATAGAAGTACAACAACCAACTTTAGCATATAAATTCAGACTCCATACAGTTTACATTTGCTTCATATTTTTATTCTAATTGGAAGGAAATCCTTACCAGCTACCTGTGGCATTATCTTCCATCTACTTAACAGGATGTAACACATGAAAGTGTCAAGGCAGATGAATACAAACATACGGATCTTAGCATACTCAGCTAAGTGGATATCTGCTGAGCCTTGTATAGGGTTTACTGAGCTGAGAGACTTAAGGTGGGAATGTTTCCAGCCAGGGTGGGTCTATTTTTCAATAACTGTGCCTGCAACAGTAAGACCTGAGTAAACCGCAGTGTACTAGGAAGTGAAAACTTTTTTTCATCTTGGATTGTCTGGGTTACTTTGGATGAGTCATTTTGTCTGTGCTAGAGTCCATTCAGCTATCAAAAGATGGTTGTCTCTGACTCCTAGAAAGTTGCGAGGTCCTTCAAAATAGTGATGGAGACTTTGCCTGCTTTGTCAAAATGGTGGTGGCATCTGCAGAAGGAAAGCTAGTAGTTACTTTACCAGAGAATCCCAGAGAAGAAACAGCTTCTTATATTATCATGACGTGTAGGCAAGGTGAACGTGTCTCTGAGCTTGCATAGTTTACCTTGTCAATAATGGAACAGCTTTGCCTCCCCTAGGATTTTACAGTGAAGGGCATATTATAATTTATTATATATAATGATTTATTATTTTAAGATATGAATACATTAATCTTTAGCTCTTCAAATGTGGGCTCTCAATCTCATCCCAAAGAGATGCGCAGGAAATGTAAGATAAATAAATATATTAGGTTGCCTCAAAAGTTGAGCAGTCTTTGAAGGGAAAGGATTTTTAGCTGTGGATTTTACTTTCAACAAAGCACGTAGCACCTCTCTGGGTTCAAGTTTTTCCAATACTAAAGCAATTTGGAGCAAATATATTCAGTTCCATGAAAAACAGTTGAACAACTATCTTTGGCAGAGCTTTTAATCTTCTGTCTAGAGCATGTTGATATAGTTGATATATACTGATTTTCTTGGAAGTAAGTTCTTTTTGTATGAACTCTGTAAGCCATCATGAACGAATACCGGAGGATCATGGCTAGCAGATTGAGGTAAGTTACAGTCCTTATTCTCCATGTCATTTTTGAGACTGCACTTGAACTCTGTCGGGTGTGCTGACCCCCAGTTCAAGAGGAACATGGAGAAACTGGAGGTAGTCCAAAGGAGGACTGTCAAACTGGTCAGAGCATGGGGAGCGGGAAAATTCATTGCCACAGGGAGTGACAAGGTAGGCAAGACTTGTTTAGTCTGACCAAGAGAAAGCTGTAGTGATTAAATAACTACCTACAAATATTTGAAGGGCAGTTACAAAGCTGTTAGAACGTGAATTTTCCTGGTAGGGGCAGAGGATATAATGTGGGGCAATGGCTGCCACTGCAGCTTTGAGAGTTCAGACTGGACACAAGGAAAGACATCCTCACCAGAGATTAGTGCAACGCAGGAACACATCACGAGAGAAATAGCAGGCTCTTCATCCTTGGAAGTTTTTAATATCTGATTTGACAAAGTCACAGCTGACAGCATTGGCAGAAGTCCTGGTATAAGTGAAAGGACGGACTACATAACATCCAGAGCTCCCTTACAACCAGCGCTTCTGTGATGCTATTCATGAATGAAACAAGGTTCTTGGTTTAGATACAGGATACTTAATGCTGGTTTTGTACAGTTGGGGCACCTTTGAGCTATGTCAAATGACAGAACTTCAGATTTGCTGAGAAAAATCTCAGAAAGACACTACTAAACCACACTCTCCTTGTGGACAGGCCAACACCTTGTGGGAGTTTTCTTGAGGATTTAAGCACTTAAAATCTAGCCAAAAAGATCCAGAAAGCCTCTTTGCTTTCTCAGTTGTACTCACAGCAAGTAGAAATGGCAGGGGAGAGCAGGAAAATTCATTGCCACTGACTTGTCTGTGCCACCTCCTACAAGCTAAATGACATGGGCAATACAGAGACCCTTGAAATTAGGCTGCTGGGGTCCAAGATGCTATTGGGAATGATATAGAGGCCAAGCAGTTTGAGGGCAGTTTGATATCTGTGAATGTTGAGTGTACTCACTGGGATTCTCAAGCCTTTGAAAACTTGTCCCTTTCAGTGGACTGAAATAATTTCTCTTCAGTTTTTGGCTACAAGAGCACATTTTTGACCAAGGTCCTAATGATGAGGAGCTGGCTTGGGAGCAGTGTGAGCTGTTTGGCTATTTGACAAAAGGCATTCCTATGCCATGTGTAGTTCTGCACCTTGTTGCTGTAGGGTTTATGTTCAATCAGTCCAGCTCCTGACCTTTTTGAACCAATGTAAATTGTAATCTTCAAAAAGGCTTTGACCACTCAATGTGCAAATCCTCTTCTCTGTAGGTGAGGCAGACTTTACTGGGTTACATTTCTTTTGGGCAGGCAAAGTGACGTTTAGGCATCAGATGGAGAAGGAAGAGCACAAATCTGGGCTGTCTTTTTGCAGTCCCCAAGGAAATTGGACACTATTATCCTCTTGTTTCCTATGCAGGTCACTGCAGGGCAGAATGTAGTCTGTAATGAAGGTTTGTTATTGCACTGCACTTGGATTTCTTAACTCCAAAGTTCCTGAGCTTACCAAAGTTCTGATGATGATAGTAGGAGAAGGGAAGGACAGTCAGAAAATCATTTTATCCTGCACACTTTTAAATCTGAAAATTATGCTTTACATCCTCTAACATAGAACACCATTCTTTGAAGTTTGCATTAGAAATCGAAGTAAGTCAGATATTCTACTGCCATTTACAAGGATAATAATTACCAGAGCTATTGATCTTCCTATTGCAGACCAAGGTAAAGACAGTAAAGACAGTGGTCAAAAACCCCTATTTCCCTCTGTGATGCAGCACTGCCCATCACAGTGCATTACATAGATTTTCACCTAATTAAACCCAGAGAACTCCATCAAACAGCAATAACTTGATCTAGATGTACCAATAACTTGACCCAAAACAACAACCAGTGCAGGGAAAGTAAGACCCAGGCCACATATGTTCTGCTGGGTAGGGGTAGCTGCTGCTCTGGGGAGCCGGTTAATGTGTTACATGCTGTTAATGAGTTGAACTTTTGGCAGCTTCCCATCATGTCACTGTCCCTGTTTCTGTCAGGGTGAAGGCCAGATTATTTTAGATGACTTGATGTTTCAGGCACTCTCTGGCCCCTTTTCCTGGCATTAGCTTTGATGGGACCAGGAATGGAGATCACAAGGGAACAGAGTGGGTGGAGGGAGAAGGTTTTTACAGTTTAAATTCCTTGTTTTCAGAACGTTCCCGTAAATGATGGTTAGGCACACCCACGCTTGTTTCCCAAATCCTAGCTCAATCTCCTGCTCCCAGTCTGAAGGAAATCGAACAGCGCCTGGTCCTCCAGCAGCCCCCATGGCCAGTGCCGTGTCCAGCTCCATACAGGGAGCCCTGCTAGAA